TTTTTTAAGACAAAGTCTCCTTTTATTGCCTAGGCTGGAGTGGTGCAGTGGTGTGATCTCAGCTCACTGCAAACATGGCTTTTTGGGTTCAAACCATTGTCCTGCCTCAGCCTCCTGAGTAGCTGGCACCATAGATGTGAGCCACCATGCCCAGCTAATTTTTGTGTTTTTGGTAAAGATGGAGGTTTTATCATGTTAGCTAGTCTGGTCATGAACTCCTGACTTCAAGTGACCCACTGGTCTTGGCCTCCCAAAATGCTGGGATTACAGAAGTGAGCCACCATGACTGGCCTGCAAGTAGCTTTTCTTAAGGCAATGCAATATTAGCCTTTGAAAGTTCTCCTCATGATGGTCCATATAGACAATTTGTTTTTTGACCAGCATCCAGATCTAAGTGATATGTCAAGGTGTTTTCCCATTATTTTTCCATGATGTGTCTGGAAATGGAACTGGATGTGATATTCTGGTCCTGGGCTCTCATTTCTGAGGCCAGGAAGTGTTAGAGAGGGGTTAGGTTGTTAGCAATTAACTCTAGATTTTTCTCAAAAGCAAGGAGGAAGCTTTGCCCACCACTGATTCTTCTATATGTGGTTATTGCCTATCATAAACTACTACTTCAAGGCTAATTAAAAATGGCTTGCATGCCAAGCAAAGTTACCATCACGTATCACACTTTATTCTCATTCTGGTTTGTTTTCTTTAGAATTTCAAACTAAGAAATCCCTTCTTGAATTATAGTCTTTTCTTCTTTCTCCCCATATCTTCCCACATTTTTGCTTCTTTTGAGTTTGTACTTCATCTTTGGCTCCAGATATTTTAATTATTAGATAACAACTGTCCTAATTTTAGAACATAGAGATAAAAGATACAGTTTCAGCCATCAAGGAGCTCACAATCTAGAAAGGCTGGCAAAAAAGGAATCAGAAAATGACAATACTGTGTGGAAAAAGTGTTAGAAATTATTGCTGGTACCGTGTCTCTTTTTAGTAGTGTGCTCTTGGTTAACCATATAAAACACAAGCAGGGATTTGAGACTAAGTAGTAAAAGCCCAAGTGTATTACTTTTTTATTGCTGCATTACAAATTGCCCCAGAATTTAGTGGCCTAAAAAACCATTTATTATTTGGCATTTTCTATGGGGCAGGAATTTGGACCTGAATTAGCTGGGTCTTCTGACTAACCATGACTACAGCAACAATGTTGCTTTCATCAACATTGAGGCTATAGACATCACAAGGTTTGTCTGGGTTGCATCTACTCCCAGGCACACTCAGGTAGTTGTTGGCAAGATTCAGTTCCTTGCGAGTTTCTGGACTGAAGGGCTTAGTTCTTTGCTGCTATTGTTTGGAGACCACCTTCAACTTTTATCAGGTGTGCCTCTCCATAGGACAGCCCACAACAAGGCAGCTGGCTTCAGCCTAGTGAGCAAGTGAAAGGATGTGAGAGAAAGTACAAGCAAGCAAGGAGTCATAGTCTTATAACCTAATCTCAGAAGGGTCATCCATCACTTTTGCCATATTCTATTTTTTAGAAGCAAGTCACTAGGTTCAGCCTATACTAAAAAAAAAAAAAAAAAAAAAAAAAAAAAAAAAAAAAAAAAAAACCTGGAAGAAATGGATAAATTCCTGGACACCTGCACCCTCCCAAGCCTAAACCTGGAAGAAGCCGAAACCCTGAATAGACCAATAACATGGTCTGAAGTCGAGGCAGCAATAAAGAGCCTACCACCCAAAAAAAGCCCAGGTCCAGATGGGTTCACAGCGGAATTCTACCAGACATACAAAGAGGAGCTGATACCATTCCTTCTGAAACTATTCCAGACAATCCAAAAAGAGGGAATCCTTCCCAAATCATTTTACGAGACAAACATCATCCTGATACCAAAACCCGGCAGAGACTCAACAAGAAAAGAAAATTTCAGGCCAATGTCCATGATGAACATAGATGCAAAAATCTTCAATAAAATACTGGCAAACCGATTGCAACAGCATATCAAAAAGCTCATCCACCATGATCAAGTAGGATTCATCCCGGGGATGCAAGGCTGGTTCAACATACGCAAGTCCATAAACGTAATTCACCACATAAACAGAACCAAAGACAAAAACCACATGATTATCTCAATTGATGCAGAGAAGGCTTTTGACAAAATTCAACAACCCTTTATGCTAAAAACCCTCAATAAACTAGGTATTGATGGAACGTATCTCAAAACAATAAAAGCTATTTACGACAAACCAACAGCCAATATCATACTGAATGGGCAAAAACTGGAAGCATTCCCTTTGAAATCTGGCACTAGACAAGGATGCCCTCTCTCACCACTCCTATTCAATATAGTACTGGAAGTTCCAGCCAGAGCAATCAGGCAAGAAAAAGAAATAAAGGGTATTCAAATTGGAAAGGAGGAAATCAAATTGTCTCTATTTGCAGATGACATGATTGTATATCTGGAAGACCCCATCATCTCAGCCCAAAATCTCCTGAAACTGATAAACAACTTCAGCAAAGTCTCAGGATACAAAATCAACGCGCAAAAATCACAAGCATTCCTGTACACCAGTAATAGACTTCAAGAGAGCCAAATCAAGAACGAACTGCCATTCACAATTGCTACAAAGAGAATAAAGTACCTAGGAATACAACTAACAAGGAACGTAAAGGACCTCTTCAAGGAGAACTACAAGCCATTGCTCAACGAAATAAGAGAGGATACAAACAGATGGAGAAACATTCCATGTTCATGGTTAGGAAGAATCAACATTGTGAAAATGGCCATACTGCCCAAAGTAATTTACAGATTCAACGCTATTCCCATCAAGCTACCAATGACCTTCTTCACAGAACTGGAAAAAAACACCTTAAACTTCATATGGAACCAAAAGAGAGCCCGCATAGCCAAGTCAACTCTAAGCAAAAAGAACAAAGCAGGAGGCATCACACTACCGGACTTCAAACTATACTACAAGGCTACAGTAATCAAAACAGCATGGTACTGGTACCGAAACAGAGATAGACCAATGGAACAGAACAGAGGCCTCACAGGAAAAACAACATACCCACAACCATCTTATCTTCGACAAACCTGACAAAAACAAGCAATGGGGAAAGGACTCCCTGTTTAATAAATGGTGTTGGGAAAACTGGCTAGCCATGTGCAGAAAGCAGAAACAGGACCCCTTCCTGACACCTTACACCAAAATTAACTCCAGATGGATTAAAGACTTAAACATCAGACCTAACACCATAAAAACCTTAGAGGAAAATCTAGGCAAAACCATTCAGGACATAGGTGTAGGCAAGGACTTCATGACCAAAACGCCAAAAGCAATGGCAACAAAAGCCAAAATAGACAAATGGGACCTAATCAAACTCCACAGCTTCTGCACGGCAAAAGAAACAGTCAGTAGAGTGAATCGGCAACCAACAGAATGGGAAAAAATTTTTGCAGCCTACCCATCTGACAAGGGGCTGATATCCAGAATTTACAAAGAACTAAAGCAGATCTACAAGAAAAAAACAAACAAGCCCATTCAAAAATGGGCAAAGGACATGAACAGGTACTTTACAAAAGAAGACATACAGGAGGCCAACAAACATATGAAAAAATGCTCATCATCACTGGTCATCAGAGAAATGCAAATCAAAACCACATTGAGATACCATCTCACACCAGTTAGAATGGCGATCATTAAAAAATCGGGAAACAACAGATGCTGGAGAGGATGTGGAGAAATAGGAACACTTCTACACTGTTGGTGGGAATGTAAATTAATTCAACCATTGTGGAAGACAGTGTGGCGATTCCTCAAGGACCTAAAAATAGAAATCCCATTTGACCCAGCAATCCCATTACTGGGTATATATCCAAAGGATTATAAATCATTCTACTACAAGGACACGTGCACACGAATGTTCATTGCAGCACTGTTTACAATAGCAAAGACCTGGAACCAACCCAAATGCCCAACGATGATAGACTGGATAGGGAAAATGTGGTACATATACACCATGGAATATTACGCAGCCATCAAAAAGGATGAGTTCACGTCCTTTGTAGGGACATGGATGAACCTGGAAACCATCATTCTCAGCAAACTGACACAAGAGCAGAAAATCAAACACCGTATATTCTCACTCATAGGCGGGTGCTGAACAATGAGAACACAAGGACACAGGGAGGGGAGCACTACACACTGGGGTCCGATGGGGGGAAATGGGGGAGGGGCGGGGGGTGGGGAAGTGGGAAGAGATAGCATGGGGAGAAATGACAGATACAGGTGAGGGGACGGAAGGCAGCAAAGCACACTGCCATGTGTGTACCTATGCAACAATCTTGCATGTTCATCACATGTACCCCGAAACCTAAAATGCAATAAAATAAAATAAAATAAAATTAAAAAAAAAAAAAAAAAAAAAAAAGGAGACATCACCCAAGGTAATAAACAACAGGAGTTAAGAATCACTGGAGGCCATTTTGAAAGCTGCCTACCACACCCAGAATAAAACAGCTATCAAAATATCCATAAACTTTTTCTAAAAAAAGGTCAGAGTGTATTTTCCAGGCCTAAAAGTAGCTTATAATTAATTACTGAATTGACAAAGTAACTCATTTCTTTAGGTGTAGAACGTACCAGATTGGAAGCAGCCGCAAGGGTTAAACAAAACTGAAGCATGAAGAGGTGAAAAGCACCTGCCATTTATTACGTCCATATCCAAGAAACTTTTGGCTGCCTCCATACATTTTGTTTCAGTTAACCTTCAAAAAATGGTGCATGAAATAGAGAAGCAGCCTATCTTAGTGGCAGGGCTGTTTCATAGAGCTGTGCAGGTGGTACCCTGAAGAACAACGAAGCCACCTCTGACGGTGTGAGCAATACATCATGGATTGTCCTCATAGTGGTCCATGATTCCTTGGGTCTGGAATCAGTACCTCATTCCTAATGCTGTGATTTTCACATGTTGCTTAACATCTCTAAGTCTTAGTTTCCTGATTTCTAGAATAAGGAGATCATAACATTAACTAACTCTCAGGACTGCTATGAAGATAAAATGAGATCATCATCATCATCGTCATCATCACTTATTCAATGCTTACTACCATCTTGGCACTCTTAAGTGTTACAAGTATTTTAACTCTAACAATAACTCCACAAAGAAGGTATTTTTATGAACTTTTAACCAATGAAGAAAATATGATATGGAAAGTTAAAAAAATCTGTGTACGGTCACAGAGCTAGGAACTAGTCTGACTCCAAAATCTGAGTTTTTAATCTCATTATACTATCTCTCATCATTGTGGAGTCAATGCTGTAGTACAGTATCTGACAAGTAGTACATATTCAATATTAGCTCTTAGTCTTATCCCATTTTACTAATAGGAAAACAAAGACTTATAAATGGTTAACAACTTATCTAAAAAATAATCCTGACCTTAAATGAGAGACCCAAGATTTTAAACCACATATGTGGATCCAAAGCACATGGCATTCTTTGTTTTGCTTTGTTTTATTCAGAATAATCATACCAATCATGACATGATCTTTGTCTAAGGGTAAACAACTCTATATGACTCACCCCTCAGGGCATTGCTACATCGTCTAGCACAATGTGAACACTGAAGTTTATAAGAATGATTCAAGACCATCAAGAAAAGGATAAATTTTATATGATATACTTTCTGTAAGAAGGACTAAAAGTGTATGATATATTTTAGATTTCCAACAAAATTATTAAAATAAAATCAGTTCAATCATATAGTGGGTGAGCTTCGGCTACCTGAAAAATTGATTGATGTTGAACACCTTATTCCTGAGCAATGTCAGTGAAATGAAGTGTGGCTATATAAAATACGAGGGATAGTGAGTGCAATAGCTTTGGATATTTAGCTACAAAATGAACCACAACAGTCTTAGTTCAGTTTCCATATCAAACTGTAAACAGAGAATGTTCTGCAACCCATGAAAATAATCATATTAAAGGAATGTGATCCACAAAATGTATTCCATTTTTAAAAAGGCATATATACCCATCCACTGGCTAAACCCTTTCCATATAGTTACATACATCTGATAAAATTATTAATCATCCACTTTTCTTTATGTAGCTGTTATCAAATTATAGAAAATAGAGCTGTTCAATGAAGTGTTATTTTGTAAAGAAAATAAGCGTTTTACCTGTGAAAATATATGAACCAGCAAAGGAATGTGATATTATAAATTCATTATTTTCAGCCTAAATTGGGTTCTCAACACTAGTCGAGGAAAAAAAAAAAAAAAAAAAAAACCCTTAATAGCTCTGTAATCATCATGCTAGCCTCATCTTACAAAGTATCTAAATTAACTTTTTTGATTTTCCACCCATCTTTCTGGCTTCTCTGCTTTAAGTGATTTTTGGAGTTTGTCTTTCTTTTTTCTTTATCTATGTCCTGATGATAACATTTAGCTTCATATTGTTGAAAATGTTCAGGTGCCACTCTGATGGCATGCACGCTTGAGTGCAGATGCTGCTGCCACTGCCCCAGTGGAAAGCTTTGGCTAGCACCCTCCCATCGGAATGTTTTTGTCAGCAGACCAGGAATACCTCAGCCCTTCCAGTGCAGCAGGTGCTTAACCTTGAGGGGTCAGAGAACAAAGCCTGGCACCAGTCCCTGAGGGTTAGAGCATGCAGCCCAGGGGTGCTGACGTGAGCCTTGAGCCCCCTAAAAATCTATCATAAACAAAGCCAGTCAAGTGGTTAGCTTATACCACAGTCAAACCCTCAAGGGCATCAAATAATATAAAAGCAAAAAGCCATATCCAAAGGACAGCAACTTCAAAGATTAAAGGAACATGAGGCTACACAGATGAGAGGGAACCAGCACAAGAACTCTGGCAACACAAAACGTCAGAGTATCTTCTTACTTCCAAATAATTGCATTAGTTCCTCAGCTGTGGCTCTTAACCAGGCAGAAACAACTAAAATGACAGATATAGAATTCAGAATCTGGATAGAAGTGAAGATCACTGAGATTCAGGAGAAAGTCAAAACCCAATATAAGGAATCTAAATAAACTAATAAGATGATACAAGAGCTGAAACACAAAATAGTCATTTTAAGGAAGAACCAAACTGATCTGATTGAGTTGAAAAACTTAATTACTACAAGAATTTCATAATACAATCACAAATATTAATAGAGGAATAGATCAAACTGAAGAAAGAATCTGAAAGCTCAAACACTGGTTCTTCCAGTCAACTTAGTCAGACAAAAATGAAGAAAAAAGAGTAAAAAGAATCAACAAAACCACTGAGATAGATGGAATTATGTAAAGACACCAAACGTGTAACTTATTGGTGTCCCTGAACGAGAGGAACAGAAGGAAAGCAACTTGGAAAACATATTTGAGGATATTATTCAAGAAAATTTCTCCAACTTTGCTAGAGAGTTTGACAAGTTCAGGAAATGTAGAGAATCCCTATGAGATACTACACTAGACAACTATCTCCAAGACATGTAGTCATTAGATTCTCCAAGGCCAATGTGAAAGAAAAAATAATAAAGGCTGCCAAAGAGAAAGGGCAGGTCACCTGCAAGGAAACCCCATCAGGCTAACAATGAACCTTTCAGCAGAAACCCAACATGCAAGAGGAGATTGAGGGCCTATATTCAACATTCTTAAAGAAAAGAAATTCTTTTTTTGTTGTTCTTTTCTACTTAAAAAAATAATAATTATACTGGATAGTAGCCTTTTGCTAGATGGGTAGATTGCAAAAATGTTTTACCATTCTGTTGGTTGCCAGTTCACTCTATTGATGTTTTCTTTTGCTGTGCAGAAGCTCTTAAGTTTAATTAGATCCTATTTGTCCATTTTGGCTTTTGTTGCCATTGCTTTTGGTGTTTTAGTTATGAAGTCCTTGCCCATGCCTATGTCCTGAATGGTATTGCCTAGGTTTTCTTCTAGAGTTTTTATGGTGTTAGGCCTCATTTTAAAATCTTTAATCCATCTAGAATTAATTTTTGTATAATGTGTAAGGAAGGGATCCAGTTTCAACTTTCTGCATACAGCTAGCCGGTTTTCCAAACACCATTTATTAAACAGGGAATCCTTTCCCCATTGCTTGTTTTTGTCAAGTTTGTCAAAGATCAGATGGTTGTAGTTGTGTGGCATTCTTTCTGAGGCCTCTATTCTGTTCCATTGATCTATATCTCTGTTTTGGGTACCAGTACCATGCTGTTTTGATTACTCTAGCCTTGTAATATAGTTTAAAATCAGGTAGCATGTTGCCATCAGCTTGTTTTTTTGTTTGTTTTTTGTTTTTTGTTTTTTCTTAGGATTGTCTTGGCTATGCAGGCTCTCTTTTGATTCCATATGAAGTTTAAAGTAGTTTTTTTCCTACTCTGTGAAGAAAGTCATTGGTAGCATGATGGAGATAGCATTGAATGTATAAATTACTTTGGGCAGTTTCTGACCAAGAATTTTGTATTCAGCCAAATTAAGCTTTATAGGCAAAAGAGAAATAACTTTCTTTTCAGACAAGCAAATGTTAAGACAATATGTTACCACCAGACTGGCCTTACATGAGTTTATTAAGGGAGTGCTAAACATGGAAATGAAAGACTGTTACCGGCCATCACAAAAACACACTTAAGTACACAGACTATTGACACTAAAAAGCAACTATACAATCAAGTCCACATAACAACCAGCTAACAACATGATGACAGGACCAAATCCACACATACAAATATTAGCCTTTAATATAAATGAGCTAAATATCCCAATAAAAGGCATAGAGTGGCAAGCTGGATAAAGAAGCAACACCCAACTGTATGCTATATTCAAGAGACTCATCTCACATGCAATGACACCCATAGGCTCAAAGTAAAGAGATGGAACTAATTTCAGACAAACAGACTTTAAACCAACAGCAATCAAGAAAGACAAAAAGGTTATGACATAATGATAAAGGTTTAATTCAACAAAAAGACTTAGTTATTCTAAATATAGATGTGCCAAACACTGGAGCACCCAGATTCATTAAAAAAAGTTCTTAGATGCCTATGAAGAGACTTAGATAACCACACAATAAGTGTGGGAGACTTCAAAACCTCACTGACAGAACTAGATATATCATCATGACAGAAAACTTACAAAGATATTCAGGACCTGAATTCAACACTGGACCACATGGATCTAACAGACATCTGCAGAACACACCACCCAACAACAATAGAATATACTGTCTTCTCATTTGCACATGGCACATACTATAAAACTGATCACACAATCAGTCATAAAATAATTCTCAAGCCATTAAAAAAAAACCAAAATAATAACAACCACACTCTTGCACCACAGTGCAATAAAATGAGAAGTCAATACAAGAGTATCTCTCAAAATTATACAACTACATTGAAATTAAACAACCTCCTCCTGGATGACTTTTGGGTAAGCAGTTAAATGAAGGCAGAAATCAAGACATTATTTAAAACTAATGAAAACAAAGATACAAACATATAAGAATCTCTGGGATGGGCCAGGTACGGTGCCTCATGCCTGTAATCCCAGCACTTTGGGAGGCCAAGGTGGGCAGATCACTTGAGGCCAGGAGTTTGAGACCAACCAGGGCAACATGGTAAAACTCTGTATCTACAAAAAATACAAAAATTAACTGGGTGTGGTGGCACATGCCTGTAATCCCAGCTACTTGAGAGGTTGGGGCACAAGAATTGCTTGAACTTCAGTGAGCTGAAATCACACCCTGCATTCCAGCTTAGGTGACACAGCGAGGCTATCTAAAAGAAGAAAAAAGAAAAGAAAAGAAAAGAAAAGAAAAGAAAAGAAAAATCTCTGGGATACAGCTAAAACAGTATTAATAGAAAAGAGAAATCTCAAACTAACAACTTAACACCGCACCTAGAGAAACGAGAAAAACAAGACAAACCAACCTCAAAGCTAGCTAGAAGGAAAGAAATAACCAGCATCAAGCTGAACTGAAAAAAGATGATCTAAATATCAGAAATGACAAAGGAAACATTACTATCAATTCCACAGAAATAAAAATAATCCTCAGATACTGTTACGAACACCTCTTTGCACACGAACTAGAGAACTTAGAAGAAATGTCCCTGGAAACATGAAACCTCCAAAGGTTGAACCAGGAGGAAACTGACAGCCCAAACAGACCAATAACAAGTTCTGAAATTGGATCAGTAATGAAAATCCTACTGACCTAAAAAGCCCTGAACCAGACACATTCACAGCTGAATTACACCAGATGTATAAAGAAGAGCTGGTACCAATCCTACTGAAACTATTCCAAAAAATTGAGGAGGAAGGACTTTTTCCTACCTCATTCTAAGAGGCCAGCATCATTCTGATACCAAAACCTGGCAGAGACACAACAAAACAAAAAAAGAAAACTTGGGTCCAATATATTTGATAAACATAAATATAAAAATCCTCAACAAAATACTAGTAAATCAAATCAAGCAGTGTATCAAATAGATAATCCACCTTGATCAAGTAGGCTTTATTCCTGGGTTGCAAAGTTGGTTTAAAATACACAAATCAAAAAATGTAATTCACCACATAAGCAGAAACAAAAACCAAAATCACGTGATTATCTCAAAGATGCAGAAAAGGCTTTTTATAAAATTCAACATCCCTTCATGTTAAAAACTTTCAGTAATCTAGGCATTGAAGGAATATTCCAAAATAGTAAGAACCATCTAGGACAAACCCACAGCCAGCATCATATTGAATGGGCAAAAGCTGGAAGCAGTTCCCTTAGAACCAGAAAAAGCAAGGATGCCCATGCTCACCACTCCTATTCAACATAATACTAGAAGTCCTAGACGGAACAATCAGGCAAGAGAAAAATATAAAATTATTCAATTAAGAAAAAAGGAACTTAAATTATCTCTGTTCACCAATGGCATGATTGTATACTTAGTAAACTTTAAAACCCTCCAAAAGACAGCTATTCTTGGCAAACAACTGTAGTAAAATTTCAGCTTATAAAATTCAGGAGCATTCCTTTACATCAACAATATGCAAGCTGAGGGCCAAATCAAAAATGCAATCCCATTCAAAATAGCCACAAGAAATAAAGTACCTAGGAGTTCAGCTAACTAGTGAGGTGAAAGATTTGTACAATGAGAATTATGAAATACTTATAAAAGAAATCAGAGATGACACACAAAAAAATGGAAAAACACTTCATGCTCATGGATAAGTAGAATAAATAGTGTTAAAATGGTCACACTGCCCTAAGCAATTTACAGATTTCATGCTATTTCTATCAAACTACTAAGGATATTTTACACAGTATTAAAAAGAACTATTCTCAAATTCATATGGAACCAAAAAAGATTCTGAATAACCAATGCAATCCTAAGGAAAAAGAATAAAGCCAGAGGTACCACACTACTTCACTTCAAAGGACACTACAAGGCTACAGTAACTAAGACAGCATGGTACTTGTACAAAAACAAACACAGACCAATGGAACAGGTTAGAGAACCAAGAAATAAAGCCACATACCTACAACCATCTGATTTTCAACAAAGTCAGCAAAAGCAAGCAGTGGAGAATGGACTCCCTATTCAAGAAGTGGTGCTGTGCTAACTGGCTAGCTATATGCAGATTATAGAAACTGGACCCCTTCCTTCATTATATGCAAAAATCGACTCAAGATTGATTAAATACTTAAATTTAAATTAGAAAACCATAAAAAATCCTAGAAGAAAACAGAAAATATCATTCTGGACATAGGAATTGACAAAGATGACAAAAGCAATTGCAACAACAAAAAAAATGACAAATGGCAACTAATTAAATGAAAGAGCGTCTGCATAGCAAAAGAAACTATCAAGAGTAAACAGATAACCTACAGATTGGGACAAAATATTTGCAAACTATGCATTCAACAAACTTCTAATTCCAGAATCCATAAGGAACTTAAACAAATCAACAAGCAAAAAATAAGCAACTACATTAAAAAAAGGGGCAAAGGATGTAAACAGATACTTCCTGAAAGAATACATACACATGGCCAGCAAGCATATGAAAAAATGCTCAACATCACTAATCACTGGAGAAATGCGAATAAAAAACACAGTGAGATACCATCTCATTTAGACCAGTCAGAATGGCTAATATTAAAAAGTCAAAAAATCACAGATGCAGCAAGGCTGTGGAGAAAAGGGAATGCTTATACACTGCTGGTGGGAATGTAAACTAGTTCAGCCACGGAAGAAAGCAGTTTGGAGATTTCTCGAAGAATTTAAAACAGAATTACCATTTGACCCAGCAATTCCTTACAGGATACATACCTGAAAGAATGTAAATTATTCTACCATAAAGACGCATGCATGCGTATGTTCATTACAGCAGTATTCACAGTAGCAAAGACATGAGTTCAACCTAAATGCCCCAAAATAATGGACTGGATAAAGAAAATGTAGTACATAAAATAATAGAATACTACACATCCATAAAAAAGAGTGAGATCATGTCCTTTGCAGAAGCATGGGTGGAGCCAGAGACCATTATCCTAAGCAAATTAATGTAGGAATGGAAGACAAAATTCTGCATGTTCTCACTAATAAGTGGGAGCTAAACATTGAGCACACAAAGACGCTAAGAAGGGAATAGGCACCAGGGCCTACATGAGGGTGGAGAGCGGGAGGAGAGTGAGGATTGAAAAACGACCTGTTGAGTATTACACTTATTAGCTGAGTGATGAAATAATCTGTACACCAAAATCACACAATTTACCTATATAACAAACCCACACATATACTTCCTGAACCTAAAATAGAAGTTGGAAGAAAAAATAAAATGAATAAATTTCCCATGTCCTCCCTAAAACAAACCCAGTTAAAAGAAAAAAAAGAGAAAATGTTAAGAAGGTAGTTTAATAAATTGGATTAAGCATGTGGCCATTGTAGTCAGAACTACTTTAGATACCTGTTCTATTATTTACTAGCTAGGAAACTGGAGCAACTTCCTTAAATTCTTTAAATTTTCACTTTCCTTCTAAGTAAAATGGGCCGAAAAGTAGTTGGTTTTCCAGACCCACCTCACAACATTGTCCAGAAGATTAAATTACATAATTCATATAAAACTCTCAGTAAAATATCAGTTAAGTAGTAAGAGATCAGTAGATGTTAACTGTTATTGTTAATATGATTGTTGTTAATAATATTATATTTTGCTAATATCATTATTTATCCATGCTATTATTCTGAAGAGCTGAGAGCTTCCAAGTCTGTAAGTTCAGTTCAGATCCCTTTTTGGGGGTCTGGGCCTGCTACTATCTTTCAAAACTATGCATCTGCTCAACTCTATTTCTGTGACTGTTAGCTTTGCTCACGACTTGGCCTAAACTCTGGAAAAAGAAATGCCATTAACTCTGCATAATGGAGTCTTGAATGGGCTCTTTAATATTCTAGGTTCTTTCAGTTATCAGAACAGTTCTGTTTCAATATTTAATCTTTACTCTTATACATTTTATGATTTTGGCCTCAAACTCTATTTAAAGCTCCCTTTTTTCTTCAAAAGATACCTAGAATTTTCATGTCTTCAGCAGCTTAGAGTTTCCCTCAGCCCCCTTTACCTTCTAGTGCTAGATCCTCTCTTAAGTTCAGGTGGAGTGGAAGGAGAGGGAACAGGCAAACTTCTCCTTTCTGAACTGGAAGTAGAAGCAGTTACTTGTTAATTGATGAGAAGCCCCTAGTGCACACTGGTTATTTCTGTCATGGAGCACAGGAGGGCCCTGGTCAGGTTTCCTGCTGATTCTCTGATACAGGAGATCTAGCTCTGGCTTGGTATTGTCCTCCTGTTCCTCCTCCCCTTAGCTCCTTCCTTATTCCACAGCATCTTGCTGCTGGAGTCCCCCTTGGGAGAAGTGTCTGCAAGATAGCTCTAACTCAGCTCCCTCTGAGGTGTCTGTTTGCCCCAGCTTTCAGAGTATAAGGTGAGTCCTACTGTTTCCCTTTGGCCCTGTCTTTCTTCTCTTTTCTCAGCTCATTGTGACCAAGGGGCAGATTAGTGAGTCTGCTGGTTCCACAAGTGTACAACTAGAGAACAAATTCTTTTCTGGCAGAAATCCTACTATTACGTAAGTGATCTTCATGAAGCTCCCCATTCCCCATGGAGTTTGGAAGGAGAAGCATTCCTGTAGCCTTCTGTTGATAAGGGAAGAAGAATCTTCCTGCTTGGACACTGGGCTTCTGAAAAGGCCGTGTGCTCTCCTATCTCACAGTCTTTTTTCTTTTACTTTGTTTGTTTGTTTTCTCTTTTTAATTGTTTATTTCTGACTTCACAGTCTTGTATGTGTTTTGACTGTCAGAAGGATGAGCATTTGGTGTGGTAGAAAAACATTGTTGGATTAGTACCTCTCATTAGTCCCTAAAAATAGGTATGTATCTGGCCCCAACTCCCGGTGACTCTCTAAGCTTAGGATGCATTTTTTTTGGTATGTTTTATGTGTAATTTTGAGTTTACCCAGTGATTTTGAAGACAGGACAAAATCCCATGTGAACATTGTCTTGTACTCCATTAAATTGTCATTACCAGAGTTACGGGAAGATTGTTATCTCATTCTAACTTTATATCACCAATATCTAACACAGCCGCTGCAAAATCATTGGTATTCAATAAACATTTGTTAAATGAATAAATGAATGAGTGAAAAGCCAAATGTAATATGGAGGAAAGTTGAATTCTTTGGTACATAATAGGCAGAATATAATCAGGGAAATGTGCACCCTGAGAAATTGCTATCATCATCTTAACACAATATAACATCTAAAGTTCTTAAATTGGTCCTCTTGATACCATTGTGTTTATTGTCTCTATTTTTATACTTTTAGGCTTTGGTTTCATTTTCTACTTATTAGTTAAATAATTATGAGAACTGTGGGAATAAATTTAAGATATTACCATGTTTCTATAGAGAGTTATGCTGTAATGTAGTGATTATGAAATGATCTCAAATCTACTCAGAATTATTAAAATGTATAGTTTAATACATATTTTTATTTTTGTTCATTCTTCCCCAAATTATATTAAAATGATCCTTCTGCACTTGTGATTTTTGTCAGAGTTTTTTCTTTTTTTTTTTTTTTTTCTTTTTCTTTTTTTTTTTAATTGCATTTTAGGTTTTGGGGTACATGTGATGAACATGCAAGATTGTTGCATAGGTACACACATGGCAGTGTGGTTTGCTGCCTTCCGTCCCCTCACCTGTATCTGTCATTTCTCCCCATGCTATCTCTTCCCACCTCCCCACCCCCCGCCCCTCCCCCATTTCCCCCCAACAGACCCCAGTGTGTAGTGCTCCCCTCCCTGTGTCCATGTGTTCTCATTGTTCAACACCCGCCTATGAGCGAGAATATACGGTGTTTGATTTTCTGCTCTTGTGTCAGTTTGCTGAGAATGATGGTTTCCAGGTTCATCCATGTCCCTATAAAGGACGTGAACTCATCGTTTTTGATGGCTGCATAATATTCCATGGTGTATATGTACCACATTTTCCCTATCCAGTCTATCATCGTTGGGCATTTGGGTTGGTTCCAGGTCTTTGCTATTGTAAACAGTGCTGCAATGAACATTCGTGTGCACGTGTCCTTGTAGTAGAATGATTTATAATCCTTTGGATATATACCCAGTAATGGGATTGCTGGGTCAAATGGGATTTCTATTTTTAGGTCCTTGAGGAATCGCCACACTGTCTTCCACAATGGTTGAATTAATTTACATTCCCACCAACAGTGTAAAAGTGTTCCTATTTCTCCACATCCTCTCCAGCATCTGTTGTTTCCCGATTTTTTAATGATCGCCATTCTAACTGGTGTGAGATGGTATCTCAATGTGGTTTTGATTTGCATTTCTCTGATGACCAGTGATGATGAGCATTTTTTCATATGTTTGTTGGCCTCCTGTATGTCTTCTTTTGTAAAGTATCTGTTCATATCCTTTGCCCATTTTTGAATGGGCTTGTTTGTTTTTTTCTTGTAGATCTGCTTTAGTTCTTTGTAAATTCTGGATATCAGCCCCTTGTCAGATGGGTAGGCTGCAAAAATTTTTTCCCATTCTGTTGGTTGCCGATTCACTCTACTGACTGTTTCTTTTGCCGTGCAGAAGCTGTGGAGTTTGATTAGGTCCCATTTGTCTATTTTGGCTTTTGTTGCCATTGCTTTTGGCGTTTTGGTCATGAAGTCCTTGCCTACACCTATGTCCTGAATGGTTTTGCCTAGATTTTCTTCTAAGGTTTTTATGGTATTAGGTCTAATGTTTAAGTCTTTAATCCATCTGGAGTTAATTTTGGTGTAAGGTGTCAGGAAGGGGTCCTGTTTCTGCTTTCTGCACATGGCTAGCCAGTTTTCCCAACACCATTTATTAAACAGGGAGTCCTTTCCCCATTGCTTGTTTTTGTCAGGTTTCTCGAAGATCAGATGGTTGTGGGTATGCTGTATTTCCTGTGAGGCCTCTGTTCTATTCCATTGGTCTATATCTCTGTTTTGGTACCAGTACCACGCTGTTTTGATTACTGTAGCCTTGTAGTATAGTTTGAAGTCCGGTAGTGTGATGCCTCCCGCTTTGTTCTTTTTGCTTAGAATTGACTTGGCTATGCGGGCTCTCTTTTGGTTCCATATGAAGTTTAAGGTGTTTTTTTCCAGTTCTGTGAAGAAGGTCATTGGTAGCTTGATGGGAATAGCATTGAATCTGTAAATTACTTTGGGCAGTATGGCCATTTTCACGACGTTGATTCTTCCTAACCATGAACATGGAATGTTTCTCCATCTGTTTGTATCCTCTCTTATTTCGTTGAGCAATGGCTTGTAGTTCTCCTTGAAGAGGTCCTTTACGTTCCTTGTTAGTTGTATTCCTAGGTACTTTATTCTCTTTGTAGCAATTGTGAATGGCAGTTCGTTCTTGATTTGGCTCTCTTGAAGTCTATTACTGGTGTATAGGAATGCTTGTGATTTTTGCACGTTGATTTTGTATCCTGAGACTTTGCTGAAGTTGTTTATCAGTTTCAGGAGATTTTGGGCTGAGATGATGGGGTCTTCCAGATATACAATCATGTCATCTGCAAATAGAGACAATTTGATTTCCTCCTTTCCAATTTGGATACCCTTTATTTCTTTTTCTTGCCTGATTGCTCTGGCTAGAACTTCCAGTACTATATTGAATAGGAGTGGTGAGAGAGGGCATCCTTGTCTAGTGCCAGATTTCAAAGGGAATGCTTCCAGTTTTTGCCCATTCAGTATGATATTGGCTGTTGGTTTGTCGTAAATAGCTTTTATTGTTTTGAGATACGTTCCGTCAATACCTAGTTTATTGAGGGTTTTTAGCATAAAGGGTTGTTGAATTTTGTCAAAAACCTTCTCTGCATCAATTGAGATAATCATGTGGTTTTTGTCTTTGGTTCTGTTTATGTGGTGAATTACGTTTATGGACTTGCGTATGTTGAACCAGCCTTGCATCCCCGGGATGAATCCTACTTGATCATGGTGGATGAGCTTTTTGATATGCTGTTGCAATCGGTTTGCCAGTATTTTATTGAAGATTTTTGCATCTATGTTCATCATGGATATTGGCCTGAAATTTTCTTTTCTTGTTGAGTCTCTGCCGGGTTTTGGTATCAGGATGATGTTTGTCTCGTAAAATGATTTGGGAAGGATTCCCTCTTTTTGGATTGTCTGGAATAGTTTCAGAAGGAATGGTATCAGCTCCTCCTTGTATGTCTGGTAGAATTCAGCTGTGAACCCATCTGGACCTGGGCTTTTTTTGGGTGGTAGGCTCTTTATTGCTGCCTCGACTTCAGACCATGTTATTGGTCTATTCAGGGTTTCGGCTTCTTCCAGGTTTAGGCTTGGGAGGGTGCAGGTGTCCAGGAATTTATCCATTTCTTCCAGGTTTACTAGTTTATGTGCATAGAGTTGTTTGTAATAATCTCTGATGATGGTTTGGATTTCTGTGGAATCTGTGGTGATATCCCCTTTATCGTTTTTTATTGCATCAATTTGGTTATTCTCTCTTTTCTTTTTTATTAATCTGGCTAGTGGTCTGTCTATTTTGTTGATCTTTTCAAAAAACCAGCTCCTGGATTTATTGATTTTTTGAAGAGTTTTTTGTGTCTCTATTTCCTTCAGTTCTGCTCTGATCTTAGTTATTTCCTGTCTTCTGCTAGGTTTTGAGTTTTTTTGATCTTGCTCCTCTAGCTCTTTCAATTTTGATGATAGGGTGTCAATTTTAGATCTCTCCTTTCTTCTCATGTGGGCACTCATTGCTATATATTTTCCTCTAGAGACTGCTTTAAATGTGTCCCAGAGATTCTGGTATGTTGTGTCTTCGTTCTCATTGGTTTCGAAGAACATCTTTATTTCTGCCTTCATTTCATTGTTTATCCAGTCAGCATTCAAGAGCAAGTTGTTCAGTTTCCATGAAGCTGTGCGGTTCTGAGTTAGTTTCTGCATTCTGAGTTCTAACTCGATTGCACTGTGGTCTGAGAGACTGTTTGTTATGATTTCTGTTCTTTTGCATTTGCTGAGGAGTGATTTATTGCCAATTATGTGGTCAATTTTAGAGTAGGTGTGATGTGGTGCTGAGAAGAATGTATATTCTGTGGATTTGGGGTGGAGAGTTCTGTAAATGTCTATTAGGTTTGCTCGTTCCAGGTCTGTGTTCAGGTCCTGGACAGAGTTTTTTCATTTTGAAATACCAGATTCTTTTTCTAAGATTTAAAGTTTCTAAAAATTTTATTTTTAAGCAATGTATTCTGAGAAAATTTAAATCCGAATTCAATTGTTCAGGTAAATATGAATACAATTTAATAACATGTACTGAATGCTGTGTTTTATAATTCCTTAGAAAATTTGGCGACATTACTAGGTCCCCAAGTAGACTGACAATACTTGAGAGATCAGCCATGAGCCACATTTAGTACATTAGCAGGAATACTTGATATGAGCAAATCTCTACATATTTTTATTAAAAATACAAATATAAATAATCAAATGATTCTGTTCCAATGCACTTCATTCCAATACTTAGAACAGGAAAAAAGGCATGAACCTCTTTAAGAAGTCATATTCAAAAAATTGCTAGTGGTTTACAGAGATTACTAAAGAAACAACTATCAAACTCAGCCAATTGTTTATTGGAAGTGTGCTTAATAAGGCAAGTTACCAGGGAAACTTTTTCCTCCCTGGAAAAGGATAAATGTGTACTAGGAGTCCATATGTGGCAAGACTGTAATTTTGCTTTGCTTTAATTTTATCTAGGTTAGCCACAGTGGAGAAAACACTGTAGAGACTAGAAGCTAAGAGTGCAGAAGGGCAAAGCAATTTTATAACTTTAAGCTGATTATTAATACTACTAATAATGCTAAAGGTAGTGCTCACGTTATTAACAAAAATAATTATAAATACTTCCACAGCACTGTGTTTTAGTCATTTGGGCTACTGGAACAAAAATACCATAAACTGGGTCACTTAAACAACAAACATTTATTTCTTATATTTCTGGAAGCTAGAATCAGAGTGTGGGTAGATTCAGTGTCTGGTGAGGGCTTGCTTCCTGGTGCATAGATGGCCATCTTGCTGTGTTGTCTCTGTTCTCTCTCTCTCTCTCTCTCTCTCTCTCTTTTTGAGACGGGGTCTCCTTCTGTTGCTCTGTTGCCCAGGGTGGAGTACAGTGATATGATCTTGGCTCACTGCAACCTCTGCCTCTGGGGTTCAGGCGATTTTCCTGCCTCAGCCTCCTGAGTAGCTGAGATTACAGGTGCCTGCCACCATGCCCAGCTAATTTTTGTATTTTTAGTAGAGACAGGATTTCACTATATTGGCCAGGCTGGTCTTAAACTCCTGACCTCAGATGTTCTGCCCACCTCGGCCTCCCAAAGTGCTAGCATTATAGGCATGAGCTACCATGCCTGGCCCTAGCTGTGTTCTCAAGTGGTGGAAGAGGATTGAGAGAGCTCCCCGGGGTCATTGCAGCACTGTTTACAATAGCAAAGACCTGGAACCAACCCAAAAGCCCATCGATGATAGACTGGATAGGGAAAATGTGGTACATATACA